TCTTCTTACTGCTGTCTTTCAGCCCCACCCCTGATCTTCTGTTTGGAAAGATCTACTCCTAGCCTTCTCGGACAAGGGCAAAAAATCTCAGAGGGCCCGTGTGCAAGTTGCGCACGTTAAAGATCCCTTGGTGGTCTAAAATCGATAAGAGTAGGCTTCGGCCGCCACTTGGGCAAAATTCAAAATGTCCTACCAACTGAAAATATTAGGTGTGTCCCGCGCTCATATGACCTTATGCAGTTGCGAGCGCCCTAAAACACTTTACAAAAACAAAAAAAAGCTTCTCCTATAGGTAGCGCAATGCCCACTTTTACTGTAGGGCAAGATTTCTGGAATCCCCCGAAATCTGGGTTTGCCCACTTGTCCTCAAAAGCGACCAATTTTAACTTAACAGGTGCCAGTCGTCAATGTCATAAAGGCAAGGCTCTCCACTGTGCATGCAGGTGATGTAAATTTTTAATCCCTGAGGGTAAAACATTAAATCAAGGATATGTTTCACAGGAAGCCGCCAATGACATGCATTGCAAAAGTAACCAGCCTCCTACACTATCAAAACAGCGTTGATGGAGGCACAAACAATTACAACGATAATCGTTTACTACCACATATTTTTTTAATTAATAAACATCAGCACCAGCAACAGATAATATCTTTGTTACTAATAGCTACCCAATTGAAAAATTAAGTGTAAATTCAGAAAGCAGCGAAATAGATGCGCAGTTTTAATTGTCTAAAACGGCCAACAATCGTCGAGGAGAAAAATGGTTGTCTTAGATAGGTGGACGTCTTACACCGTGCCATTGTGTAAAAAAAAAATAGTTAAGGGAGGAAATGGGAAGTTCCTTTTTGTACAGGTTCTTGTTTTATACAGGTGGCCAATAGAGTAGCATCAACTATATTCATAACATGTCTTTATGCTCCTCTTAAGAAGCATATCATATTATACTTTTACTATTACTTTCATATTCTCTGTTGCCGTCAAAATGTGTCTAGGGGAGATGCAGTGTTCTATGATAAGGGAACTCTGCGGCTCTTTCAATTGGGGTGTTATAAACTAGCACAAAAAAGTCAAGGAACAAAAATTCAAAGAAAGATTACTGAAGAACAATTTAACCGAATTTATTCATTTTTTTCACAAAAGATGCTTTCGACTCTCTAGATTAAGTGTGAACAATTTCAGATTTCAACAACAACGAGAAGTTTATGTAAAATGAGTTTAAGTCACACTGGTCGGATTTCAAAAGTCTGAACAGCCAAAGTTCTTCATGAACATTGTCAATAGTGGATGTAGCCACTCCGTTTGATCAAACACTCGGCACAGCGTCGAAGCATGGACAGGACATGCCTTCGGAGAACTTGTTGGGGTAGGTTCTGCACTCCTGGACGAGGTAGACCAAGAGTTGTTGAAGGTTTTGTGCAGGAGGGTGGTGATCCCTTATCCACCGGTCAATGTGATCCCAAATGTTCTCTGTTGAGTTCAAATCCGGACTACAAGCTGGTCAGTCCATGCAGGTGACACCTCGCTGCAGCAGGAAGTCCCCCACGATGCGTGCGCGATATGGCGTGGCGTTGTCATCCTGCAGTACAGACTGGAGTCCAATCTGCTTCAGGAGAGGAACAGCAAGGGGACGCAGGATTTCCTCCCTGTACCTTGCCGAGGTCAAATTACCCTGTATATGGTACACGGGTTCCTGTGGTGAGCTGAGAAGCCTCCCTTCACCACGCACAACGGACCCTGCAAATTAGAGCGTCACCTGCTGGATGCACTCAGGGTGGAACAGCTCTCCTTGGCGCCTCCAGACGTGAGCTCGCCTGTCTGGGTGCAACAGGTTGAATCTGGATTCGTTCGAGAAGACTACCTGGTCCCACTGACAATGTTTTCACTGTTATTGCGAGCAGGCCACGCCTGGCGAGCTGCTTTGTTGGGCGGCGCGTGCCTTGGGCGCCTGGCAGGGACACGAGAAGCGAACCTGGCTCTACGGATACGGTTTCTTACCGTCTCCTCGCTCTCGTGGACATTGCCTGTCACCCGTAGTTGGTCCCTGATGCAGTTTGCAGAGGTGGTTTGGGACGTCACGGCCTGTTTGACGATGAACCGGTCGACGCTGTTGTTGGTCAAACGGGTGGGGGGGGGGGCTGGTCGAGGCCTGTCCAGGATCCTTCCAGTCGCTCGCCATCGTTCTTGCAGCCTCTATATTACTGATGGAGACACCCCAAATCGATGTGCAACAAATGGGAACGTGGAGCAATCTTGGAGCCAGGTAAGGGCTCGTCCTCTGTCGACGTCAGGCAGAAACATGGTAGGAAAAACGCCGGTTTATAAAGGGATGTAAGTGAGCAATATTCACAGCTAAGACATCTGTTTAGCACATGCCAAGCTTAGTTTTAGCTAACAGTCCTCAATGTTGCTGAGTCAGAGAAATTTAGCCCATTTTTCATGCTTTTCCGCTGTGTTTCAGAATGCCCTGCGCCGTCGCTATGAAGCTGGTGCCGGCAAATTAGCCGTACAGGCAAATTGTGTCTAGTCGTCAGTGCGTGTGCCAAGTGTGGTTGACTGATCATAACGGGTTTGTGAGATATTGAAGTTTGAATTTGACAGGTGAAAACACAAGCTGTTCCTTGCCTTTTTTGGGCGAGTTTAGTTTTTCAGGGTTCCCTTGACTCCCCCAATCCATCTTTTACTTGGTCTACCTCTTCCTTTATGGTCAGATGAGTACTTGGTGTTATAGGCTCTCGAACATGTCTGTACACAGAGTCTTATACCTAGACAAATCATTAAAACTTATATTTTCCTCCGAACAACAACAGTCGTTCACAACCACTTATACCAACGTTAATAAAAAAAAAGACACAGACTGACCTTCGATCTTCCCCGCCTTGTAGAGCCACTGGGCCAGGTCCTCCACCAGTTTCTCGATATCTTTACGGCACGCGTCCAGTTCCTCTTTCTTGAAAAACTCAGGGACGATGAGGTAGCCCTGAGGAAGGCACAACAAAACAAAGTTGCTTCATTTTCCGTTGATATTACAGGCTGTTTTGTCAGATAAATTGAGATATGGAAGGTTATTTTTTGCCACCATCCATTAACCTCCCGCGTCTCAACTACCTTGTAAAACTATATGTATATTTCGTATTCCTGTTACCTTTAAAGCATGTACCATCTTATTACAATTGCAATATTGATTATGTATCTAGCTTAAACTTTTTCGTGCCAACAATAATTATTCATTCATATCATTTGCCTGTGACTGTGGATTCTGTTTGTGAGTGAAAGCATACAATATATTATGTGTAGTTGTGTATAGAAGATGTGTGAGGAAAAGAGGGCGTGTGTGTGTGTGTGTGTGTGTGTGTGT